GAGTGGCTTGTTTTTTGAAGTTAGAGGAGACTGGGCGTTGTTTCTATTAAGTGCCCTAGAATAATTCTTCAGAGTTTACATAGGTATTTTACTGTCTCTTCTGTTTTCAAATGAATACTAAAAGCTCCCGAGGGTATTTTTAGAAAAATGAAAACTAAAGCCTGAAACAACCTGAGATCACATGGTGAAATACAGAACTGGAAAACAAATTTTACTCCAGGTTTGGTTTACTTCTTTAAAGATGTTGTTCTCAAGTGATTTTGAGGTGGACAAGAGCTTTTGAGTGGAATCCAATCCCTACTAAGAAAACAGTAAGATTTGTTATTTTCATTTACAAAATCCGGTGCTGACTTATTTGTTATTGTTATAAAATGATTTTAGTTAGTCCTCAAAAACATTGATGCTTCCCTATTCAGAATTATAGACATGAGTGATACATTATAGAACAAAGATGTACAATGATTTTCATATGCACTTGTCATTTTTCATTACACAGAGGATATTCTACCTTACTGTAGACCTACTTTTCCGACATCCAATAATCCCAGAGATCCTAGTTCTTCAAGCTCAATGTCATCAAGGGGATCAGGAAGCAGACAAAGAGAACAAGCAAATGTAGGTCGAAGAAATATTGCAGAAATGCAAGTTCTTGGAGGATATGAAAGAGGAGGAGATAATAATGAAGAATTAGAGGTATCTATGACTTTTTTCATCTCTCAACGTTAGACTAGTTATTATATCAGCCTTAAAGTCAGGAGCATCTATCAGTTTATAGAAATGTTACTTTTTATCACAAACCCTAATATCAGTGATGCCAGAAACTGTAATTCTGAAAAAAATAATTATTTTCTTGAAATGCATTCTAAAGTTTTAAACGGTAATAATAGTTTCCTTTTAGATCTAGTGTTCATATTCATCTACAGGTATTCAGATAAGAAATTTGCATGGCAAGCATGTTCTTAGGAAAAAAGAACTATTGATCTAAAAATAATTATAATTCATAGTATTGTGGTAAGTTATAAAAATCCAGTAAGGTGATAGTTATATGATGTGAGTGAGGGTATTCTGCCTGTGTTATCTACCACCCTAGTGATCACTGGGGTCAGTCCAACTGATTTGACCCACTATTTTTCACCTTCAGTCCTGACACGGACTTTTCCATGTGGAAGAGAACATTTCTTGAGTCAAAGATATACTTTTTTGTTGGAATCTATAAATAGGTATCAGACAGAGTTGGCAATCTTATAATATTTAAAATCACCTCCCATTTTAAGATTGTGTTTCCTCCATTTCATAAGAAAGCAAGTTGAGGACAGTTTTTGTTTTTTGTTGTTTTTTTTTTGTTTGTTTGTTTGTTTTTTTTTTTTCAGATATAGTTGATCCTTGAACAACGGGGCAATTAGGGACTTTCAACCCTCCTGCCCATGCAGTGAACAAATTCATGTGTAACTTTTGATCATACCCATGTTGCTCAAGGGTCAACTTTATATTTAATCACAAGTATATTGTTAAAGGAGTGTTAAACTGTAACTTCAAATAATACAAGATTAAAATTATAAGTAATTATATTTGATTAAATTTCTCATCATGCACAATGTAGTTGGGTTTTGAGCTTTAGAATAAGAATACTTTCCTCCTGCAAATACTGTTATAGAAGTTGCTATTCAAGTGTTGTGTGTTTTTTTTTTTAAAGAAGAGCCCTTTTGAGGGATGAATATAGATGAGTATATAGATGACTCCAATATTTAAAACCAGTAAAAGTTTAGCTATAATGCTAAGTTGGGATAGGAGGAGTAGAGAACTCAGCCTACTACTGCTCCTCTCTCCCCAGCACCACACCCGCAACACAGAGACACTGTGTGGAACGCAGTTGGTACTTGTTACAGAACTATTGGATTTGCTTTCAAAACCAATTAAAGTTGACAAATGAATCTGTTGCCATGAGCTCTTTCCAATGTATGCTAGTGAAAGAATGGAAAACAAAAACCATAAGAATAAAACCATGTAAATATAATACTCTAAGATTTATTTTCAAACTTAAAAAGAACTTATCTCTTACAGGAAACTGAAAGCTGAAGACAACCAGAGAGGCTTGTGAGATCTAATGTGAAAATTGTCATTCAAGATGCCTCATGTCTGATGACACATGACGCCAGATAAGATGTTCAGTGCAATCAGAGTGTACAAATTGTCCTCTTACTGGAATGCATTTTTTAAAATTTTACTGGGATTTTATTGTTGTTGTTTGATCCCTATCTCTATGAGGAACCACCCTAGTCCTCTCACTGTTGGAACAAACCATTACACTTACTTCCAGCAAGGGAAGTATTTGAAATCTTGCTTCCGTCATCAGCCAGCAGAAGGGAACAGAATAGTTCTTCTGCATTTTGCCCCTGAGATATGGCATTGCACTGCTTATATACCAAGCCAATTTATAGCAAAATATTGATCAAAGATACAAAGTTGATTAATCAACCTCATGCCAAGGGCTCTGAAGATATAATCTTTCTATAACCAACTGCTAATGCAAATTAAAACATACTTCATTGTCACGTGATTTTAAAATCAGTCTTTCATACCACCCTTTCCTGGGAGAAAATAAAAATACAGCAAATGCAGAACAACCACAATTAATTTGAATGGGGTAGAAACATTGTAAATATATTCTCTTTGCAACCCCTGGTGATACTTTTTTTTCACTTCATTTCAATCACTGAAGTATATTCTTATTGGAAATGTTCGTCTTTTCGATAAGTAGGGGGAAGCCAGTTGGATCTCTGGTTGTCTAGTCATTGCCATAAGTAAGCCTAGCAAAAACCTTACTCTATTTTTCAATCAAAAACCGATTAAAACTGCATATTACAAACAAATGGATGTTTTTAATGACCAATTGAATAAGAACATCCCTATCTTAACTGGCCTGAATTTCTTCTGGTAGTGTCAGTTCAACTTTCAGAAGTGCCACTTAAGGAAGTCTGATTTTTGTTTTTGTAATGCACTGTTTTTTAAACTTTTTTTTTTTTTTGGTTTTAAAAGCACAATCACTAAACTTTATTTGTAAACCATTGTAACTATTAACCTTTTTTGTCTTATTGAAAAAAAAATGTTGAGAAGCGTTTTTAACCTGTTTTGTTAATGCTCTATGTTTGTATTTGGAATATTTGAATGATGACAGATGGTGAAGTAACGTGCGTACTTATTGTGGCCATAAACCCAGGGGTTCTTACTTTTCCTGGACTTAAGGAAAAAGAGATTTGTTTGTTGTGGCCAATGTTGAAACTTACAAGATTTCCTTATAAGCTCAAATAGAGGCATTATGTGCTTTGTTTTGCCAAATGATGCCCTCTGACTGTATGGTCCCTTTTTTTCATTATATAAATTTTATTGACTTTATAATTGGTGCTATTTGAAGAAAAAAATGTACACTTATTCCTACACAGGTATCAAGCCTGACCCACTGGAAAACAAAGCCAAACAAAACGGAGCCACAAAAGAAAAAAAAGCTGGTATTCACCAAAAACTAAATGTGTTCACTTAGATAATTGAAAAGTTACATAGAAAGGGTGTGCAGTACTAAGGGAACAATCCATGTGATTAATGTTTTCATTATGTTCATGTAAGAAGCCTCTTATTTTTAGCCATAATTTTGCATACTGAAAATCCAGTAATCAAAAAAGTAATTTTGTCACATTATTTATTAAAAATGTTCTCAAATACATCATTCTTTCTTGTGTTGATTTCTTTTTTTTCATCGTGTGGTCAAATTATTCCATTTAATCACAAGGTGTGCTGTCTTAACATTTCACTACTATATTATCAGATAGTTAAACATTCTGTTTTATGAACAACCAGGTTTTTTTTTTTTTATAGGAAGGAAAAATGCTCTTTTTCTCTACTGAAATTAAAGATGTAAGATAAATGAAAACCTAAAAGTCATTTGATCAGAGAGGAAGGTTTTACTATTAAAGTTGTTCTGAAATATTTATGTAGGTGTATCTGAATTTCAGTTAACCTATTTCTGAAATAGGATTTGACTACGATAAATCAGATTTGTAAAGTTTGAGCCATTTGTGTCCTGTCAACAAGTACATTATATAACTACAAAATATTTATCAGTAACTATCTGCTTTCTTGTTACAAATTCATGTGACATTTTAACAATGCAATACTTATCACATTATTGTTCATTAAAGTCAGCCTATTCGAGTATTCAGCTTTGGGTGCTGGAGATGGGCATCATGTCTTGGAAGTGCCAAGAGCAATAGAACCTAGTGAACATTTTTTTCCTATGACATATACATTGACAATTTTTGTGTTGATCACAATTTGAAAATCTAGGAAATTTTTTAAAAGGGGGATTTAATCTGAAATATAATTTCACAAGAATGAGGTAATCACCAGCATTTACTTAGAAATGAACAGACCTATCAGTAAAAAAAATCAGCTTTCAAGTATTTCAATCAAAAAATTCGTGGGACATGTTTAATGACCTAATTTTTTGTTTCCCTTGATGAGTTGAACATATATAAGTTATTCTCTCTCTTTATTTATAGTATGTGTTATGCATAGAAATTATGTACATCAGAGGGCCTGGCTTTGAGTCTGTTTTGTCACAAGCTCTGTTTCCTTGGACATGTCACTTGACCTCTAAGTCTCAGGTACTTCACCTGTAAATTTAATAATACCTACCTCATGGAGCTATTGTCATGATTTAGTGCATTAATGTATGACATGGACTCTGTAAACCTCCCAACAATACAAGATATTGTATTCATGGACTGAATTTATTGTACACATATTATACTCACTGCACACATAGTTTGTTCCCAAAAACTTGCAAAGGGGTTGTTTTTTCTTTAAGTCAAAGAATAAGTGTGGTGCAAGGATGGGGGTGGTTCCATTTCTGGTGAGTAAAAGTCATTGTGAAATACCTAATCATAGAATAAATTCTTGCTGTTTTTGTTTGTTTTTTGCTTGTGAATTCCTGAGGGCCGTACAATGGGTGGTGATATGGCACTTTTAAAACATATTTTACCATTCAGGTGTGCAAGTATGTCACTTGACATCTCAGTAACTGGGCTTAGTGTCATATCTGACTTTCTTGGTCATCTCTGACATAGAGTCTGTTTTCTCCTCACTTCCCTTTTCACATGTTGCTGTCTACATCAGCTGTGGGGTACGGGTGGTAGGAGCTTCTGGCATTATGGTTATTGTCCAAGTTTCCAGTGGTCCCCCTTGGTTAGAATATTTATTCTGCACCCTCCTCTCCCCAACTCCAACATCCCTTATTATCCTTTGATCCTCTCTTGATTCTTCTGAGCCCTTAGATGTGTTGGGTGTGAGAAGTGGGCATGGGAGTTTTGTACGCTCTCCTGTGCCTTGCTGGAGCTCTGGAGACTTGGTGTGGGGCCCTTCCTCAGGACGTCACAAGAAACCTCTATGTCTTCTAAACTGCTTGTCACATTTGTGTTTGAGTTGTGGGAGAGGATGATTGCTGCTTCTACAGTTTTTAGATGATGATGATGATGATACATACCTTACAAGGTTGTTGGAACTAAATAAGTTGATCTACATGAAGTAGATAGTATGTGCTCAATATTGGGTAATACTCACGGCTTCCTTGGTGTTGAAATGGAAAGTGCTGAATAGGTTGCCTTACTTTTAGATCCCCATACTTGGTGAGAAGGTGAGGGGACACAAGAATCAAACCTCAGTGACACACCGTATTTAATTCCCCAGCCTTACATTTAATTCTTCCCAGTGAAATGGAGAAGGGGGGAGAGAGACAGGGAAAGAAAAGAGGTAGAGAGCAATACAAAAATGGTCATTTTTCTTACTTTCCAGTCTTTGGTTCGCAAGACCTTAACTCTTGCAACTGAGCCTTCATTCTGCTACAATTTCAAAAGCCTAATTTGAAACCCAAAAGAAGTGTTGAATTGCTCTTCTGTAGTAACCATCCCTTTTCATTTGTCTGGTAACCATCTGAGGGCAGTATTTATAGAAAACCCCTCTCAGTTGCCTGAAGAGGTGGGATAGCAGCAAATAGTTATAACAGGTGCAACATCTTAATATTTCAAAATATGATCTTGTTACAAAAGTATATTATTTTTAAAAACATTAAAAACAGGTTAATTTTTAAAAACAACTTTTCTAATCTAGTTTTCTCAGCATATTTTAAGAGGATTTAACAGAGAAATTCAAATGTTGAAAAATGGGTTCGGCAGCAGACTAAGCTGAACAGTCTACACAGAGTGTGAAGATCACTTTAGTATTAAAAAGTCTTAGGGAAGTTTTCTCTAAAAAATTATGGACATTGACTTCTTTTGGAAAAAGAGTCGGTAGCAATACTATAAACCAAGAACCTTAAGGACCTTCCAGGGTTGGATCCCTAACCTCAGCTTTATGTGGTACTAATGCTGACGTTTGTTTTTTCATATGTGAACATACTCCACCTGCAAAGTCCGGTGTCCTCTCTCTAAGACCACATTTTGTCTGTAACACCCAAATGACTACCATCTCTACTCTAAGCGTATAATTCTTATCAGCATTTTTATTTTTGTTACTCCCTCATTTTTATAAACAGACAAAACATGAAATATTCAAATAACATGACAAAGACAGATGCCGACACTGGCAAAATTGAACAGTTTGCCTAACACTTATGTGTCAGCTGTAAAGTTCTGAATGTAGTGGTTTAAAGAAATTGCTACACACATACAAAAATGTGTAATACATGGGAATAGAATGTAAGAAATTAGACATCGTGAGCTTAAAAATAAAAGATATGCTCACATTAGGAATACAAATATGTAAAATTATTTTGAATTAGTAAATTGACTTTAATCAAATCCTGTACTGTTTTTAGATATTTATTTCAAAGGTTGCATGAGAAAGCAAATACTGGTTTATTTTTCAAAAGGTAGATAAAATCCTTTATTACCAAAATTTCTTATCATTCATAAATGAGACTGATGATTAGTACTTAGAGTGCTATTAAAGTAGTTTGGAACGTTAAATTCTATGTATTTCTCTCTCTTTACAATAAACTGCTGTTGACCTTAAACTAGCCAGATGCCCCAAATTAGCCAGCTATTTCACCAGCAAAATGAGTTTATTTGAGAAAAACAAAGAGTTGCAGTTTGGGACATGCCTTTTAATGGTGAACCACAAGCAAGCCCAGAGAACAGAGGAGAGGAATGTGCCTGTATAGAAGGAAGGGGAGGTTCAGAGGGGCTGTTGTAAACAAATAAGCCTTTGGAGGGGACTGTGAGTTTGAAGCGTAGTGGCTTTCCATTGGCTGAACTGTAACAGCCTTTCATTGGCAGAGTGGTTGCTGAGGGAGGAGAAACTCTTCTTCCTGCAGAAATTGTAGAATGGAAAAGCATCTTTTTGCTGGAGTTGAGAAGTATATCCCTTCCTCTATAGCAGTGGTTCTCAACCTCCCTAATGCCACGACCCTTTAATACAGTTCCTCATGTTGTGGTGACCCACAATTTCATTGTTACAAATTGAACATAATTAAAGCATAGTGATTAATCACAAAAACAATATGTAATTATATGTGTTTTCCGATGGTCTTAGGCGACCCCTGTGAAAGGGTCGTTCAACCCTCAAAGGGGTCGCGACCCACAGGTTGAGAACCGCTGCTCTATGGTGTAATTGATGATAAGTGGCAGGTTGCAAGAGCTCTCCCTACAGGCACTCCCAATTCCAATTTAAAAGAGGTATCTTTCTTTTAAAAAGAATATGTTTTATTTTTTATTACAGTTGATGTACACTATTTTATTAGTTTCAGGTGTACAGCCAGTGATTAGACATTTATAGAACTTATGAAGTGATCACCCTGATAACTCTAACACACATCTGGCATATACATAGTTATCATGATATTGACTGCAGTTCATATAATTTGCATCCTTGTGATTATTTTGTAACTACCAATTTGTGATTCTTAATACCTTCACATTTTTTCACCCGTTAAATGAGGTTTCTATTTATTAATCTTCACACAGGTATTAAAAATTTTTTTTCAAAGACACTTTTTCCCCAGAGGCACTAAACCAGTTTCTCAACGTGTTATCTACGGATATTTGTCTTCTGGTTATAAATGTTGATTCCTGATTCTTGTCCAATCGTTCTGAATCAGAGTCCCAATAGACAAGGCTTAATTTACATTTTGGAAACAATCTCAGGTAACTTTATGTTTAAAAAAATTGAAAACTATTACTCCAACAAAACAAATGCAATTTTATTGCAATATGTAAATGAAAGTGGAAAGAATCTTATAGTCAGAAGTATTTTTCAGCCATGCAGCGACCTGATGTAGTTTTCATTGCCTGTTGTTAAAAAAACACGTCTGATACAGAGTGAGCATGTGTCAAACTTCATTTACCTCATTAATAATGGACTCGTCAGGACAATAAAGAAACTTTGAAGAACACCTGTGGGAGAAATGTAAATATGATACGATTGCTAAGTTTGTTAACTCCATATGACAATCCATGCATGACGTTAGTATATCTATTGAGCTAGTCATAGCACCTTTTTCTTCAAACTAAAAAAAAAAAAAATCACTGTCCAGAGCTACATGAAATCTGAATCTTTGTCATTTGCAATTAATAAAAACTATACTTTGATAATTTACATTTCCCCCAAAAGAATCTGATGAGAGTAAAACAGCGACTTGGTTTTGTCTATGGTTCCCCAGAGGCAGAGTCTT